TTCTTTTATATTCAAAAACTAGAATTTTTTATTAGCTTAGTTTGTACAATTGATTATTCTTTCGTACAATTTTAATTTATTTTAATACTTACATTTAAGTAATTTTCTTTTAACAATTTTTTTATTCAGTGTATTAAATTTTTATACTTTTAACAGTTGGTAAAAAATATTTGTTTTCTTTTAGATTCAAAATCTAGAATTTTTTATTTAGCTTAGTTTGTACAATTTATTATTTTAATTTATCTTAATACTTGCATTTAAATAATTTTCGTTAACAATTTTTTTTAATTCAATGTAGTTAATTTTTTATATTTAAAAAGTTTGTAAAAATATTTAAGTTTTCTTTTATATTCAAAATCTAGAACTTTTGTTAGCTTAGTTCGGACAATTTAGTATTCTTTTGTACAATTTAGTTTATTTCAATACTTGCATTTAAGTAATTTTCTTTTAACAATTTATTTATTCAATGTATTTAATTTTTATATTTTAAACAGTTTGTAAAAATATTTAAGTTTTATTTTGTATTGTAACGACAGTTTTTGGTGACGTTCAAAAATATTTAGTTTTTGCTGGGGTATCCTCAGCCGTCGTCCACAGTCATCACAATGAATTTATATTCGCGGGGACGAGTTTCGTAAAAGAAAGATATTTTTAAATTTTCTAAGTTTATTTCTTTATTATTTCAATAAATGTTTGTACAAAGTTATTTCTATAATAGTGCGAAAGCTATTTATTTTAATTGTGTGATTTCAAAATAAAAGAGCTAATTAAATATAACTCGTAGAAGAATAAAATTATAATAAAATAACAAAAACTCGATATGTATTGTTTACATAAAAAAGGATGTATATGTAGTGCTATATATTTTACTTCGAAGATTTTCGTATATCCAGGCGATACCTAATTGTGCCGTACGCTGTGAATTCTGTGAGTGATAGCCGTGGATTTGATGGGCGAACGCCGTGATTTCTGTGGACGGGTGTCGTGGAATGGCGTGTAGTTCTTCTCAGGTTACACTACGGAATATTCATAACATGTCCGTGCGATTTCTTGTATTCCTCCAAATAATTTTATATCCTTTGCCGTAAAACCAACGCAGGATTTAAGATATTTCTTATGGTTAAATATGGTTCATAAACATATATAATTTGTAGCTTTTGCCGTAAAACCAACGCAGGATTTTAAAATATTTCTTATGGTTATATATGTTTCATAGGCATATATAATTTATATCCTTTGCCGTAAAACCAACGCAGGATTTAAGATATTTCTTATGGTTATATATGTTTCATAGACATATATAATTTATAGCCTTTGCCGTAAAACCAACGCAGGATTTAATAGTTTCCAATTGATATATATGGTTCATAGACATATATATTTTTATTTCCTTTGCCGTAAGACCAACGCAGGATTTAATATTTTCGGCGTAATACCACCTTGACGAATGCTCATAAACTCGCGCCTTCTTAACAATTTCGCTGTCTTAAATACCCATACGCCGGAGCTTTCTTCTAGCGTATTTTAAATTTTCCCGTTCGTTTATCCACTGGGTTGTGCAGTGTAACCGCTGTGCTTACGATCTTTGCCGTGAAGCTGCTGCGCTTTTGTGTTTTGTTTTGACAGCCGCTTGTGTTTTGAATTATAAAAGTATTTTTACAAAAAAAAAAGTGTAAGTGATAAATATATTTATAACCAAAACATGCATGTAAACAAAAATATGAGTGTATAAAACTTAAGTGTAATTAATTAAAAGAATTTCAGTGATTTTAAATTAAGCCGGTACTGATGTTAAATTGTTTTGGTGGTAGTTTTGTTTATGTTGTAATATTTGCAAAAGAAATAAATAAAATATTGCTTTCCATGTTATACCGTAACAATTAATAAACTCTAGTTATTTTAGTAATTATCCAAATAGATAACCAGTGGAAAACTATGACGAAGTGTTGCTTGTGATGCGTTTTTATTTGTAGAAAAAAAAACGTAATCAGTGGACGTTTAGTTGTTGTATATTTGTTTATTAAAAATATATTTGTAAAATAAATGTGTTTACTCTTCGTGTTGTCAATCAAATTTTATAATAAGTGAATAAAAATTTAATTTTTTCTTATAACATGTTCATGGTGTGTTTATATTCTTTTTCTCTCTTCAGAGTTTGTTTTCAGTCTAGATCAGGCTGGAGGATCGCAGGTAATGTCAATATAATTTATGGCCAAATATATTTTGATAAATTTTATATTTTACAGCTAAATCCACTTCAGTTTTCTTCACGTGAGTTATTTTCATCTATATTATGTGTAGAGGTAGTAGTTAGTTGACACACAGATTTTCTTTTTCGCTTGTTCTTGTGACATGTAACACAGAAATGTACTGTGTAAATTTGTGTCGTTACATTTCCCCCCTTCTTCAGAAAAGAAAATAAAACTAAGACATTATTTTAATGAAACACTGACTACTTCGGTTAACTTGCACTTGGTATCTTTGGTTCTTCGGGTATCTCTTGTGAACTAAATCCGTCTCCGTACTCTTCACGATTAGAGTCTGCGTAGTACAATTTGATATCGCTGACGTGAGCTGTTTTCCTGGTTTTAGTGATCTTGTCTTCTACTATTACAATTACTGGCGATTGGAAACATTTCACCTTGTATGGTCCATTGAATTTTGGACTTAGTTTCGCGGCAATGTAATCAACCGCTTTAGACAAAGTGGTTCCTTACCAGGACTTGGTCTCCGATTTGCGGTTTCCAGTCCCTACGGTGGAGATTGTAATGCCTTGCTTGCTCGATAGAAGCATACTGCATATTTTGCCTTACTACTTCCATGATTCCTTGTAATTTCTGGGCTTTGTCCATAGGAGTGATGGGGACGTCTCCGGTACCTGGAGTGACCTTGTCAAATTGATTAGCTGGCATACGTGGTTCTCGCCCGAAATTCAAAAAAGCTTTCTGAGAATCCCGTGGATTCGGCTACACTTGAGTTCATTGCTAGTGTAATTTCTGGCTAATATGCGTCCCAATTCCTGTGGTCACCTTCCGTGAGTTGACTGATAAGAGTCTTAACAGTCCTATTAGTTCTCTCGGTGGGGTTTTCATATGGGGCGTATGGTGCGGTAAATTGCTGTGTTATACCCAAATCTGAGAAAAAAGTTCTAGTAGCCCGACTGGTAAACTGGGTCCCATTATCTGATATTAATACTTTTGGTACACCGAAGCGTGCAAGGATACGTTCTCTGAAAGCCTTTTGAATGGCGATCGTGGTCGCCTTCCGTAGGGGTACCAATTCAACCCACTTTGTAAACTTGTCCACAAAGACCAGAAGCATGTTGTTTCCTTGTTTGGACCTTGGCAGCGGACCGACAAAGTCCGTGCAGATGGTACACCATGGTTCTTCAACTAATCGTGTTAGCATGAGTCCAGCAGCAGCCTGTTGGTTCGGTTTATATCGCTGGCACGAATCGCAACCCCTTACATATTTACTAATATCGCGAAACATACCTGGCCAAAAATACGATTTTGCTACTCTTTGCTTGGTTTTCCTTACTCCGAAATGTTCTGCTGCAGGTACGTTGTGATTCTCCTGTAGTATCTGTTGTTTCAGAGCTGTTGCCACACATAACTTCCATGGTTTATTGCCCTCGTCCTGATCGTAGCTGGGTATATGTCTATACAGCTGGTCATTTTCTATGGTGTAGTCTGCGAATTTCTTAGGATACAATTTAACCTCCTTTTTCCGTTTGTGAACCCAGTCTTGTTCAGTACACACGCCATTGCTAGTTTTTATCCTTCTAATTGAGACTGCAATTCCCTCCGGTTGTCGCGATAATGCGTCCACCACCACATTGTATTTACCTTTCCGGTATACTTCAAAATTATACTGTTGTAACTCCAGAGCCCAGCGTGCGATTCGACCAGATGGATTATCGATTGAGTTTAACCACTTTAATGACAAATGATCCGTTATCACAGTGAATCTGTATCCTTCTAAATACGGCCGCATTTTACGGATACCCCAAACGATTGCTAAACACTCTTTATCAGTAGGGGAGTAATTTGATTCGGCCTTATCTAGTCGTCGACTAGCATAGGCAATCACCTTTTCTCCGTCCTCAAACTGTTGCGTGAGGATTGCACCAAGACCATAAGCACTGGCGTCTGTCTGCAAACAAAAAGGTTTGTTAAAATCCGGGCATTGAAGTATTGGGGCTTCCGTCAACTGCTTCTTTAAGTTCTCGAACGCGGTTTGTTGTTCTGCGTGCCATTTTCAATGTTTTCCTTTTCGGAGGAGTTGAGTTAGCGGGTGAACGATTGTTGAAAAATTCTTCACAAATCGACGGTACCATGACGTCATTCCCAAAAATCGTCTTAATTCCCTCACAGTCGTTGGGGGTTTCAGATTTTGGACAGCTGAGACTTTCTCTGGGTCAGTATGAATACCTTTATCACTAACAACGTGTCCAAGGTACTTTAAGGTTGACTTGAAAAACTCGCAATTTTCTGCATTCATTCTCAAATTGGCTTCTCGTAGTCGATTGAACACAGTTTCGAGATGTTGGAAATGTTTTTCATAATTACGACTTATGATGATAATATCATCTAAGTATGCGAATGCAAAGGGTTCCATTTCTGGTCCAATGACTGAATCCAATGCGCGCTGAAACGTAGCAAGGGCGGAATGTGACCCAAATGGCATTACCTTCCATTGAAACAGATCTCGTCCCGGTACCGTAAACGCTGTCAATGGTTTGCTGTCCGGATGCATCGGTATCTGCCAATACCCATTCTTCAAATCCAAACTACTTATAACTTTCGCCTCGCGAAGCCGATCCAGGATATGATTCATGCGCGGAAGTGGATATGCGTCTGGTTTCGACTTTGCATTTAGTTGACGATAATCCACACATAATCTCGTATAATCTATATACGATTTGTTTAAGCGCCATTTTGGATACCATCAACGCCAGGTGTTTTCGTATCCTTAATGATGTTTGCGGCTTCAAGAACTTAGCTTGGAGTAATTAAATTAACTTGGACGTCGTCATCGGTCAGTATGTGTGTTATCCCAGAGCCTTGTGGGAACAAGTTCCGTACGATCTCTTCTAAGAAACGAAAATTAGTAGGAGCTGGTGGTGAAGTTCCCTTCATTATCTTTTTGACAGTTTGGTATGCTTTTCCCCAGGGATTAGTTGACAGTTCATCTAGCAAGGTGTTGTACAGCCGTTTTTTGCTTTGTAAAATAGAATTACGGAGCTCTTTCCGCTTTTTCTTATAATGCCAGTTAAGTTGCTCAAAATTGTTATGCCCTCTTGCCCGTTGTTGAACTCTGCGTAATTTGTGACATTCTGTCCGCAGGTTTCCAATTTCTTCATTCCACCAAGGTGCAGGTCTATGATGCTTTCTTTCATTTCTTCGAGGCATTGATGCATCACAGATGTTTTTAAGTGATTGCATTAGGCTTGCAGCCTTACTATTCGCGGAACTACCAGTTAGGATTATTTCATCAGCAAGAAGGTCAACCATTGCTTTATCTAATTTACTAGTATTCCATTTACTTGCTTGTGCTTTCCTTGTAGATTCATGTTTTCCACTTATACGGTCTTGTGTTAATTCAAATATAATCAATTTATGATCACTAGCTCTGTACACATCTGCCACTTTCCATAGACTGTTTTTACAAATACTTCTACTTCCAAATGTAAGATCAATGGTTGATGTGAAACGGCCATTATCAAAAGTATAGTTAATGTCATCGTTAAGCAGAAAAATATCTAGTGAAGCAAAAGCCTCCAAGAGAGCAAAACCTCTTCTGTTTGTACATCTGCTGCCCCAGGAAGTTGACCATGCATTAAAGTCCCCTGCTATTACTAATGGCGTTTTGTGTTTTGCATTCTCTACGAGATGATCAAGCATAGTATTGAAGTCCTCTATGGTGTCGTTAGGTGAAACATAGCAGCTGTAAAAATGTCTATCATATATTTTTGCGTATACGAAGCCATTATGCTGGTTGTTCTCAATAATTTCATAGCTTTTTTGGCCACAGATGTGTATTGCCGCTTTACCGCTCAGATCTCTGCACCACCTACCATCCCAGTCTGGGACGTTAAACGGTTCTGAAATTAAGAGAACTTCTGCTGTTAGATCATTTGCTGTTAACATCAGTAGGTCTTGCCCAACTTCACAGTGGTTTAAGTTGATTTGAAGACACTTAACCATGTATATGTAATTTTTACAAGCGGCTTGATAGACTGGACAGATTTTATTTAACATGTCGTGATTGTTATTATCGGCAGGACATAGCAGACACCTGGGTGTCTTGTCGCAAGATTTGGCTTTATGACCTGTATTACCACACCTAAAGCACGCTCGATTGGTATCATTTTTGCAGTATTTTGAAACGTGCCCAAATTCTAGACATTTATAGCATCGAGTTGGTTGTAGGAACTCTCCAATTCTACATACTACCCAGCCAATCCGAATGCGCCCAGCATTTATTAGAATTTTAGCGTCGCGAGTGGGAAGAACGATTCTCGCATTTTGTGTCCCGTACCGTGAGGGGCGAATTACTTTTACCGCTTCTGGCTTCATACTTTTAATACTAGGAAATTGGCTTCTAATGGCGGTACAAACGTCTGAAACTGTTGTGGTCTCGTCTAAGTCACGGCATTCAATGGTGGTTTGTTGGCTTACTACATGTATGTCAGCGAAATCATGAAGCACTTCTGCGATGTTACCTTTGTGCTTGTTTGCGTCCACTTCAGGTCCGCACTTAAGAATTAACATGAGTTCGCCTTTCGCAGTTCTTCGTATTTTATTTACGGTTGAACCCAAATCTGCCAGTTCAAAGTTCGACTTTAACATCTTAAGCATGTCGGCATAGCTTGCTTCTCCCTCTTTTTATACAATTATCGCTTCTGGACGTGTGGGCTTCTCTCTTACATTGGCAGGTGCTTCTTTGCTCTTGTTTCGAGTGACTTTAGTCCACGTTATTTTGCGTATATCATTTATTTTCGGCTGCGATTCACTATTCGTAATACTGACTGTTGGCAAACTACTAGGTGCAGACATCTGATGCAATTGATTTTTCACTGTTTTAGCCTTCTCTACTAAACGTTTCTTTACTTCATTGTTACCACATTGGGTCTGCGCGTCCACTGTTGTCCTTGACAGGTCTGGGCTTCTGTATTTAGCAATAGCTTTTTTAATCTCCTGTGATATACTTGCTACCAGGTCTTTCATTGTTTGATTTATATGACGCTGGCTATTCATGATACCAACAAGTGCCTGAACCTTGGTTTCTAAATTATCAAAAGGTTCCTCTGTATCTGTAATTGAGAGCCTCCTATCTGAAATCCTTGTATTGAGAATTGCTGCCGTCGTTTCTGTCAAATTAATTGCTACATCAGCGTTTGAGGCGCAGGCATTACCTTTATTTTCGACTGGGCCATTTTTACCGCCTGGTGATCTATGCGATTTAATTACATTCGCATTAGGTACCTCATCCTCCGTCACATTTTTACCTGAATTTTCCATTATAATTACTTGTAATTACTATTGTACTTACTCAGGTATGTTATTATTTCCCACTGGGATGTCTATTGCAATTTACTGCAGGGGTACTGTATATGCTACTAAAAAGCTTTTGTTTATAATAATGTTGTAAGCAAAGGTTTGAAGCTTAGATTAAATACAGCTTTCAGTTTCACTGCTTTAACAGGTTCCACAAACAAAAGAATAAAACAACCGCCAAATAAATAAATTAATTCACTACCGTACATTTAACATCAGAAATAATTTGAGAGAAATACTTTATTTTGGCAAAGTGTCCAGGAGCGCGACCAATCGTAGACATACAAGTCCGCAGTTCCTTCGCACAAAATTTTATTAAATAAAACAAATTAAAATAAAATATTTAATTATTTACAATCCACTGTTTGATCAGCTGATAGTATCAAAGTGGAGATTAAAAATTAAAATCCACAACAACAAAAAAGTAAAAAGGAGCCGGCAAAACACTACCGTACTGTCTCAAGCAAATTAAAAAAATTATTATTTTAAGTTTACACCACTATAAGTGTCCTAGAATGTGACCAACTATCTCCGACGGTGATCACAGTTCTTTCGCATAAACGTTTAAATCAAAATATTTATGGAACCACGCATCGTATATAGTTAAAACAACAAAACTATTGGAGCGCAAAAAAAACACGTCATTCTCGATAAAGGAATCCCGGACGCTAAATTTATAAGTTAATGACAAGTGTGTGTCCGTATAATATGTTAAGCTAGGTGCACACCTACTGTAGTGTGAAATTATTATTTATGCAAAAATATATAAAACTACTAAAACTTTTAGTTTCAATTCTTCAATGTTTTTATTTACTTCACAAACATAAAACAATTACTTTCTTATATTAATTATTATTTATTGAAGCATCTACTCAGTATGCTTGTTTAAGATTGAATGAATACTTATGCTCCGCTTCATAAGCTTAGAGCTAAACTTAACATACAATAATAGCTTACGCTAGCACTTATTATGTATCTAAGGGAATGGTAAAGCATGCATACATAAAATCTTATCGCACATAGCGTGGTTTTAAATAACATGAAAGCATTGATGCTTCATGTGTGCTTAAGCAACAGGAATGTGCTGGCCAGGCATAATTCATGTAGCTGTGCGTTACAAAGTAAATTATATAGTCTTTTTAGACTATTTAGCAACAAAGTATATTTATTGAAGTTGCTTTATTAATGTAAATGTATGCATACTACACTACCATATAATATAAAATATAAATATAGAATAATATAGTATGTAACAGTTACTTTTCCAGTGTTATTTGCATTCAGCTCTACTATGACTGGCGATATGAATTTGATCAGTTTAAATGGCTCGTCGCATTTTGGAGCGAGCTTCGCTAAAAAATCATTCTTGGCGTTAGAGAGGGGGTGTTGTTTGACCCATACCAACTGGTTTATGTGCGGCTTCCATTTACGACGATGCAGGTTATAATATCTTGCTTGATTAGTTGCTGCTTGTTGCAAATTGTGTTGAACAGATTTGAACACTCGCTGCAATTTTTCGGCTTTCACTGCGGGAGTTACTTGCGGATTTCCTGTTTCTGGCGTACATTCGTCAAACAAGTTAGCTGGGAGTTTCAGCTCTCGTCTTTGTACTAGATAGGCTGGAGTGTATTTTGTGGAATCCGATTTTGCAGTGTTAATGGCTAACGTGATTTCTGGGAGCATCTCATCGCACGTGCGATACTCTTCGTGTGTCGTTTGTGACATCAGTGTCTTAACAGTTCGATTCTCACGCTCAGTTGGATTCTCTTGTGGTGTGTACGGCGCTGTGGTTCTGTGTTTAATACCCACCTTTGTTAACCATTGTTTGAAAATATTACTAGTAAATTGGGGACCATTATCAGTAATGATATCTTTGGGTGTTCCAAATCTGGCTAATATCCTTTCTCTCAAAGCTTTGATGACATTGTCGGATGTAGCTCGACGCATACGTATCAATTCCGTCCACTTAGAGAACTTGTCGAGTATCACTAAAAGCATAGTATTGCCATTTTGCGACCGCGGTAGGAGTCCCTGTGATGGTAGTAAATGGTTCCTTAGGGATCGTCGTCAACATCATTCCTGCTGGCTTGCTTGAACTTGGTTTGTATTTTTGGTATGACTCACACCTTTTCACATATTTGGCAATATCACGAGATAAACCGGGCCATTAATATTGATTCTGTATACGTGCAATGGTCTTGCGTACACCAAAATCTCCTGCAGGGGTGCTATCGTGACTCGTTGCCGTAAGTTTTCGAGTACACATAACCTCCAACGACTTTCTATATGGCTTTCCCGATCTGCTGGGAGACATTTATACAATTGTTCGTTCTGAATGGCAAAATCTGGGACTTGTACTGGATTCTGTTTTACCTCTTCAACTTTGCGTTCATACCATTTGCACTGTGTTTTAACTTCGGGTTCTTCTATAATTCTTTTCGCGTCTTCCATTGGTTGTCGTGAGAGTGTGTCGGCTACCACGTTCCACTTACCACGCCGATACTGGATGTCAAATTGATATTCGCCACTCGCCCTGTTGGATTTTCAATCGAAATGAGCCATTTCAATGCTAAATGATCGGTTATAATGACGAAGTGGTACCCCTCCAAGTATAGCCTCATTTTCCGCACTGCCCATACAATAGCTAAACACTCTTTCTCGGTTGCAGCATATTTTACCTCGGTTTCGGTCAAATGCCTACTGGTGTACGCTATTACTTTCTCCACGCCCTCAATCTCTTGTGTTAATACGGCGCCTAAGTCAATGTCGCTGGCATCTGTTTGTAGACAAAATTTTATATTATAATCAGGGCATGTTAGGATCGGTGCTTCAGTTAGATGCATTTTAATTTCCTGGAATGCTCGATGGTGTGTTTCTGTCCACCTCCAATGTTTGCCCTTTTTTAATAACGACGTGAGTGGGTGCATAATTTGTACAAAGTCAGGTACGAAGCGACGATACCATTAAGCTACACCAAGAAATTGCCTTATTTGTTTGATATTGGTTGGAGTTGGGAGATCTCGAATGGCGGCGACTTTATCCGGATCAGTGTGGATTCCTTGGGCACTAATCATGTGTCCCAAGTATTTTGTCTCCGTTTTGAAAAATTCACATTTATCCTTAGATTGGCTGCTTTGAGACGGTATAGTACTTCCTTTAGGCTACGTGCGTGATGTTCGAATGTGGTATCCGTGACAATGATGTCGTCCAAGTACGCAAATGCATGTGGCTCCATGTCCGCTCCAATAACTTGATCTAATGCTCGTTAAAATATAGCCGGTGCGGAGTGTAAGCCAAATGGTAGTACGCGCCACTGGAATAATCCTCGTCCTGGTACTGTGAAAGCTGTGAATGGTTTACTCTTTCGTCCATGGGAATCTGCCAATAACCATCTTTCAAATCAATGCTACTTATAAATTTTACATTGCGAAGGCGATCTAAAATGTGGTGAATACGAGGCAAGGGGTAGGCATTTGGAATGGAATTCGCATTTAGTTGCCGGTAGTCTATACAGAAACGCCATGTGCCATTCTTCTTCTTTACCAGTACCAGCGGGGCACTGTAGGGACGTTTGGATGGCTCGATACAATTTTTCTCAAGTAGTTCATTCACTTTTTCGTTGATAATTTGCTGTATTGCAGGATTCTTAGGAAAGTGTCTTTGTTTAATAAGCCGGTCGTCCTTCATCACTATCTTGTGGTGATATTAGAGACGCCACTCATGACATGGAAATATTTAAGTTCTTTATCCAGGAATTCCTTAATGGTAGCTTCGTGTTCTGTTTGGGCTAGAGATGCACTGTGTATATACTCCTCCACTGGTGTTGGGTCCGTATTGTTCATGACGATGTGATAACCTCCCACTTGCATCGATGTGCCTATTGCTTGAAAATAGTCCAAACCTAACATGATTTCATCCGTACTTTCATTTAAAATTAACAATTTCTGTCGCATATCCAATTGAACGTTCGCCTCTATATACGTATGAATACACCTTGTGGTGTTATCCGCAAGACGAACCTTTGTGGAAATCTTATTTTCATGTAACGTGAGGCCCAATTTTTGAACCAGTGCTAGGCTGAAGAAACTGCTCGACGCTCCTGTATCTAATGTAGCTTCCAGGGGGTGGTCGTTCAATCGTATTCGTGCTAGCAGAGGATTACGTTTTAGGCAAATGGGTTCTTCGGCGTTGGGACAGGATTGAATCGTGGGTTGCTTGCCTGCTTGTCCGCTCCTGTCATAGAGCGGACCCGTCTGAAGTTTCCCAAATCTTTACGGCAACATTCGATTGTGCGGACTTCT